GCTGTGGAGCTCTGGGGAGGAGCACAGACTCCTGGCCCTACCAGAAGACAAAGCCGTCTGCCCAGTCTTTTCAGAGCTGCACCAACCAAGGCCTCCGCTACTCCGAGATGCTCCCTGCCGACTTCTCAACCTACAGTTCACCTTACATCAAGGTTGTTTGTTTGAGATGCTCTGAGAAAACTAGAAACTTCCCGAGCGGTTGCCAGAACCAAGGCTGGGGATCGCTGGGCATCTAAGTAAACTTGTGACGGCATTTTGAACACTGGGTTCCTGCAGCTGCTCTGGAGACAAGGCCATGCTCTGATTTTGACTGAGCCTCACATCCTCTGGGCCAGTAGTTGTGACCCTAATCTGGGTGGGGAGGAAAGTTTAAAATACTCTCTGAAAGCCCCTGATTCTGTAAGTCTTGGGATTTTTTTTTTTTTCTTTCCAAGTTAGATAAAACCAGAAGTTGATAGGAGGTCCCAGTTCTGGCCCGGATTGAGATATACTCTTCCCTGGATCTTTCATTAGATGGAAAAGTTAAGAAAAATCCCCCTGAGACCTCCTCCTCCAACTTGGAACGTGACTCCCGGGGTTCTGGTCAACCACAGGAGCCCTTTCCCCAAGGGCTGCTGCTCTGCCACCTTCAACGTGGACAAGGATAAGAAGGGTCATTACCCAGCAAGTCTCCTGAGAGGTTGACAGGCAGGATGACGCACAGGGACAAGAAGCTGACCACCACCAGCAGGAAGATGATGTGCCTCTGGAAGGACAGGTAGTGGATGGCGTCCTCCCCACAGCACTCCAGGATCTGGTCATCACTGGACATGACACATGTGGAGACTGGATGAGCAACAATAATGGCCAGGCCCTCGGGGTCTGGAGCAGCTTCTCTCATTTCATCCCATAGCAATTCTAGGAGGCGGCTCTGTTACCACTCCTACCTCTTCCTTCCTTTCTCTTTTCTTTTACATATGACAAACAAGGGACAGAAAACCACGTCACCATCGGGATCACACAGCCTGCAACAGCAGAGCTATGGTGTGAATTCTGGAGCTCCTGTCTTGCCCCTACACCACACTCTGGGTGAAGGGGCTCCCACTACTCTATTTTATATTCTAGAAACCTCTGTGCCCGCGTTACATGTGTAGGCGAGGCATGTAAATATGACATCCCACAGCCTTTCCTGCTTCTGAAACAAGGAGGCCGCTGGGAATCCCACTAGAGACCAAGTTGGGAATGTGTCCAGGCTCATGGCCCCCACCCTTTCTCCTGCCTCCCCTCAGGTGAGCTCAGAGGGGAAAGCGAGGCCAACGTCTTCAGCAGGTAGAGTCTCAGTTCATCCCCCTGTGCCTGCCTCGCCACAGTGGCCCTGCTATGGTTGCGGAGATGGTGAAGAGCTCTGGGTCAAGTGGGAACCCAGGAAATTCTAGGTTCATTCAGTCAGACTTCTGAGCTAGAGGGAGAAAGGGCAGGTGCTGGCTTCACTCTTGACATGGAGGGCCCCTGAGGGCCTGCTTCTAGAAGGTCAGGAAAGCCCTGCATGGGACAGAGCCAGGAAGCATGTGCTGTAGCATAATGGGCCGATCAGCAAGGAGCCTCCGACCTGAAGCCACTGCCACTCCCTGCCTCATACCTAGTGGGGACTCCAAAAAGGCGGTGAGGATCGACACCTAATGAATGCTCCCGGTTGCAGCAGACGCTCAGAAATGTGCCTAGTTATCTAGAGAAAGCTTTGCAGTTAATACATTGTTTTCACTTCTGCATCAACTACTCTATTCTGCTCCAGACCAGAGTTCCCCAGCTCCTTCCACAGGACTCTGCCTCCTGCCAGTTCCCTGGAACAACTCCCAGCCAATTCGATCGTGACAACCACACTCACATGTATTCGTGCATGTGAGTTAGGCTGAGCACAAGTTATAGCTGGCCCCCATGTAAAGTTGGGGAAACTGAGAGGGACTTATTCAATGTCCTATAACTATGGTATTTTCTCAATTATAATATGTCATTTTCATATTTTAAAAAATTGTTTTTGGTTTATTTACTTATTTCTCTATGAGCAAGACAGACAGACAGAGAGACAACACCTCCAACAGGGTATGATGCTGCAATCCACCTCCAGCCCTAGCCAGCCCTGAATCATGGGCAAGCACCTGCCTTACCTACTCAGGGAGGTCCCCAGATGTGAACCCAGAACCATCCCACATGGATCAGCCTCAGAAAGCATCCCATTTTACCACTGTGCCACTGTCCAGCCCCTCTTTCATATTTTTTTTTTTGAGACGTTTTTGCTATAGGGCACTTGAGTTCGCCAGACAGACAGAGAGAGACAGAGAGACAGAAAGCAGGAAATCACCCTGGGATGGCCACGCCACAATCCCTTCTCCTCCATTCTCCTCTCAGGATCTTGGGCATGCATGCACATGCGCCTGGCGCCAGGGTAAGCCACCAGGTCCAGGACTCGAACCACGGTCGACTACGTGGGAGTCCAGCGACAGCCATTACGTTAACTGCTGGTCCCTCCCCTTTCATATTTTAACACCTCTGAAATGAGTACACCCTACGGTTATAACTGATACAATCTTCTTGTTCTTGGTTCTATGTAAAATAATGTGCAGCTGACAATGATGGCTTCTTAGATTCCACGGAATACAGCAGCGGGTGGCAAAGCCAACACCACAGCCTGTCCCTGACTCTAAGCTCCTTCCACTACCTGATGGGTAATTAATGGGCCTTAGATCATCAAGCTCCTCTTTTAGATGTCTCTCTATAGGCTTCAAGTTTTTTGTTTTTCTGTTTTTGTTTTTGTTTGCTATAGGGTATGTGCACTTGCTAGAGAGAGACAGAGAAGGAAAGAGAGAGAGAAAGTGAGAGAGCACTCCTCAGGAGGGATGGCCATGCCATAATCCCTTCTCTTTCACTCTTCTCTTGGGATTTCGGGCATGCACCCACACATACACACACACCCAGCATCATTTTCAAGCCACAAGGTCCAGGACTTGAATCATGCAGTCAGCCGTGTGGGATCCAGCCACTTTAACCACCCTGCTGGCCACTAGGCTTCAAGATTTGAAAAAGAAAAGAAGAGAAAACTTTAAACCAAATGAGCTAAATGTGTTTCATTTATCCACTGTTCAGTAGTTCAAAGATATGTAAACCTAGC